CAGATTCATGGGAAGAGAGGGACTGAGAGGTGGTGGCCAGGAGGCTGACTTGCAGAATGTGCCCTTTGGAGGTGTAAATTGTTATATATGCCTTAGTGGTTTTTTTTTTTTTAAAGCTAAAGTGAATATAGAAAAATACTGTTAACTGATGGTACATGGAGGGGATTATAATCATTGTAATGAAACAAGGTGTATGATTTGTAGAATTTAAAACTGATGGTTTGCCCTGTAAACTCTTATTCAATCCACAATAAAAACCTTAAAAAAAAAAAAAAGATTTAAATACACCACTTTCGATAAAGGACAGAACTAGAAAGAAACTCAACAGAGACACAGAAGAACTAAGTAACACAATCAACCAACTTGACCTCATAGATTTATACAGAACACACAACCCAACAGCACAGTACGTATTCTTTTCCAATGCACATGGAACATTCTTCAGAATACATTCTAAGAAAGAAACAAAATCCGACCCCCACTCGCCCACTCGCCAAGGCCTCGGCTAGGCGGAGACTGGAGGCTGCGCCCGGTGGTGTGGCCGAGGCTCCGCCCACTTGCCTCGCAGCTCCAGCAGTAGTTTCTGAGAGGTGATCCCGAAATGGGCAAGGCGGCAGGCGAAGCGGCCTACTTCCAGAGGGGCAGTCTGTTCTGGTTCACGCTCATCACCTTCTCCATGGGCTTCTACACGGTAATGCAGGGGGTCAGCGGGGGAGGGACACGGGAGGGGAACGCACGGAAACCGCTCCAGCAGGCAGCTAGGAGTGGCGCAGGCGCAATCCCGGCTCTGGCCGCCGGGGGCCTTGGAGTAAGGAGGGCTCTGGAGCTCTGAGGGAGACGTAGGCGCGCTCGTGTGCCCAGGTTTTTCGTGGGTACGCCAAGACCCCAACGAGCGATTTAGGTACCCTTTCCCTCTTTGGCGGCGGGAGCAGCTCCCCACCCAGAGATTCAGTGTCTAGATCTTTCGAGATAGTGGTGGCGAAGTTAGAAGCTGACAAAGCAAGGCTACTTCCTTACAGCGAGATCTCTGCCCTCCAGGTTAGAGGTCTAGGTCGGGGTGAGGCGTGGGGAGAAGCAGGAACGGGCTGTCCCGGTTCTCGTAGAGCCAGGGAGTACTTTGTGGGCGAGGTCTCTGCGCGTGTGCCCAGGCGGTTGCCTAGGTTACTGGTGTAAGCGGAAGTTCAGTTGGCTCTGAAGCTGGTATCCATTTTAGAGTATGCCAGCTATTCGGAGCGGATCTCTATGGCTTAACCGAGTCAGCTAGGAATTTAAGCTAAAAGAATGGCATAGGAGGTAGGAGTCTGGTAGGAATTTAAGCTGAGAGAATGACATAGGAGGTAGGACTTTGGAAGCAGAATGTTTAGGTAGTTGGGATTATTCAGCTAACGGGAATACAAAGGATGAATACATTTAATTGGTCAGAAGGGTTAGAAAGGATAAAAGTTACAGGGTCTGTGTGGAAAAGCGAGGATATCTACCTGTTTGTTATGCCCACACTGTTCTGTTTGTTGGCATCAAATTTGACTGCCTCTGCCCTGGCTTCTCCAGATGTAAAATGAAGGTGTTTTACTGAAACATTTACAAGTTGCTTTTTGTACTATTGATTCTAGACCACTGACTAGTTAGAATATATATGTAATAAAGCTTTGAGAGATTTCACAATGGAACCTTGTGGATCTGGCAACCCCTTAGGTATTATTGATGGTTAGGAAGGGTGTAGTGATCTTTTATGTTTTGTTTGAATTTTGCATATGAAACTGTAGGAGAGGCAGTATTGCTTTATGTTGACATATGAATGGCCCAATACATACTGGAACTGGTGGCACTTCCTTATTCTCAGCTTAAGTGACTGAACTTAAAACAGAGACTCAGAAAAAGTTATTACAAAACCTTGTTTATTGTTTAATTAAAACAATTGCTGTTGTTAGGTGC